GGATTTGCTCGGTATTGCTAGAAAAAACTAGGTACAACTCGATATTTGCTAGATATTTGAAATATATCCAAAAGGTGATGGGATGTTGTTCGGCTCGTCAAGGAATTAAAAAAACGCACGCGCTAGAACCCAAAAAACAGCGGGTGGTCGGCGACTTTTCTTCATGCTACGTGGCGCTAAAACGTTGGTGGCCGAACGTAGAGGAGCGTACGTTCACCGAACCAAATAAAAGTTCCTCACTGTAGATCCGCTCCTGGGAATCCATTTGTGATCCGAACGATTTGTCGTATGAGCGTATGCACTTGTACAATAGGTCATCACCTTCATATTCATGTGATTTAGGCTTCGTTTGGGATGGCTTTTTTACTGCTTCTTAAAGCTGATTTCTAGTACAAAATTTTTAATTTTTTACTAAAAACTGATTTAAAAAGTAGTAAGAAAATCGTACCAAACGAAACCTTAGTGTACAATTAGCACATTGATTTGTTTGCATGCTCGCACATTCTACATGCAACACTACTATATTAAGCCAATATTTTCTTATATTGTTGGTGCATATATGCTTAGGCTTGGTTGTAGCTTATTACAAAGCTTTGTAATTTTTTTGGCTTTAGGTATTTTGTACATTTAATGAAGTACATAGTGATGTATTAATAGAGCTATGATGCTGAGTTCAACCTATACTACTGGCTCCGATAATTATGGGTTATAAGACTTGTCAGCTCTTGCTTGTGTCCCATTTTTTTTTTTCCTTATCATCTTAAGCCTATGAGATTCCCTTTGACATAACATGTGATTATTAATAAGGATCCTCATATCACCGTCACTTGACTGAGTAGACCGCAACTAAGATGACTTGGGATAATTGAATTATATGTCTTGATCTGGATTAATTATTCTGTGGGGACGTCAAACGTCGTCCGAATACCAATCAGAATGCTCCATGCACTACAGGAAAATGCCCTATTACCATCGGATTTTTCCGGCTGAAATTGCAACGCAGTATATGGTGGATATGTTTGCCGGAAACATTACGGCGGACTTTCCGGCGGCCTGGCCGCCGCAAGGTTACCGGCGGCTAATACGCCGGTTATGTGCCGGTTTTATAACTTTACCGGCACATAGTCCGCCGGCAATTACCGACGAATGTACCAGCGTATTTTGTGTCGACTTAACTTAAACACGACGAAATAATACCGGCGAATGTTCCGTCGGTATTTCCGGCTGAAAGTACGACGGAAGACGAAAACAATAAAACGTCGGTATGTAAAAATATTTGTTTGAAAGGCCGACGGAAAATATTTCCGACGAAAATAGTACGCCGGTAAAAATTTCCGACACGTGATTTTTTTGGCGGAGGATTTTTTGCCGGAAATCCGTCGGCAACCAATAATTTCCGGCGCATTTCTGTTGTTACCGGTATCAGCTTCTTTTCCTGTAGTGATGTCACCTCTTGCTCGCTAGTGAGGCTCTGCACCGCGACTTTATATTGCTAACGTTGCGTAATCTGGTTGGTCTCGATCCGGATGACGTTTTGCATCCAGTCTTCATACAGAATAATTTCCTCTTGATCTGAGTCGTCTTCCCATATCCTTGGGTTAAGACCATACTTTTTTTTTTTAAACTCCCTTAGATCTTCAATGTTTTTTTAAACAATGCAATTAATGGTCATCAACAAGAATCCATATGTCATCCAACTTGAATAAGTAGAATTAGGCTATAAAAACTCAGAATAATGAAAGAATGAGACCTTAACTGAGTAGATTATCAATGAAATTTATTCTTTTAGCAATGAATCCCCTATAATGTAATATGATCTTCATTAGGTCCCTAATAAAGTGGCTTATTTTTTATATGGGTTGAATTTTTAGACCCGATCCGAATTCAACTTGAGTAAAAAATAACATACCTAAACATGACCCATCTAACCCATTTATTATACGGGTTTTAGATGAACCCAATCTAGATAACATAATAATGACTTGTTACCTTTATTATTATATTTATTGAGGTTAAATATGCCCCAAAATTTACAAAGAGATTTTATTTTATCTTAAAAATTGGTTAATAGTTCATGTTCATATTTGACCATACCATGTTGTTGGATTAGTTCACAAATTGACACCACTAATTACTTATATTAATTATCCTAAGCACTTTTAAATATCTTAAATACTTTTTAACTTTCATAATAATTTGGCTTAGCATTGTGATTAAGATATGAAATCACAAAATGTGAAGTTTAATTTAGTAATATTTTGCACTGTTATCATATGCTTGGTAGTCAATTATATAATTGTTCATGTTCATATTTGACCATACCATGTTGTTGGATTAGTTCACAAATTGACACCACTAATTACTTATATTAATTATCCTAAGCACTTTTAAATATCTTAAATACTTTTTAACTTTCATAATAATTTGGCTTAGCATTGTGATTAAGATATGAAATCACAAAATGTGGAGTCCACTTTAGTAATATTTTTGCATTGTTATCATAAGTTTGGCAATCAATTATCTAATTTAAAAAACTTGGCTTTTCAATGATAGAGCTTAGCTACAAAACGAGCCTTGTCGACTCTATTAATAAGCAACTTATTAGTGTTCGAACACGTCTGATTGAGCTGCGTGAAAAGTTATTATTTCTAATGGAAAAATCCGTCTAAAAACGAGTCCCTTTTTTTAGGAAATTATAGTTTCCGGTGGATGCAAAACAACCGAGAATTTAACTGTTGTAATTATTGATAGAATGTTTATCGAAAACCAACCTATAATGGGAGAGATTATTGAGTTCGGACATCGGACACAGCTTACATTCGGTATTCATAGTACTGAGCAGTACTGAGCTCAGTACTGTGAAGTATTGAATACCGAGCAATACCGAGCTCTGTACTGAGTCGATACTGCTCGGTACTGCTCAGTACAAAGTAGGAGGTGATGTGTCACATTTTCATTGGGCTCCGAACACGTCCGGTGTCCGAACCCAATAATTTGCCCTATAATGGAGGCAAACAACATCATTCCTACTTAATTATCCATAGAAAATACAGTAATATGTCATGATTTTTTACCCTTATAAATAATCACAACAAGATAATGACACAAATGTAAAATGGGTAAATTTAACAATACAATTTGTTGCAATTAAGTGTTTAAATAATTACAACATTCATAATAAAGATGTCATCATAGTTGTATTTCGTGATACATAAATCATAAAATTTTAACTAGTCTTCCTCATTGGCCGATGAATCATAATCAGGTGACGTTGGTTAAAAGAGTATAATTAAGCGATGATGATTAGGAGATCACAATTGAGTGGTCATACATGAGACTATAATTAGGCGATGATGGTTAAATGATTATGATTAAGTGACAGTGGTTAGAGAACTATAATTAAGAGATAATGATATGAGAACCTTAATTGGCTAATGATGGTTGTGAGATGATAGTTGGGTAATGATGCTCTGAGTAGTATAGTTGGATGAAGATAGTTAGGAGACAGTAGTCGGATTACAATGATCAGAGGATAATATTTAGCAATGGTGGTCGAAAGATCATAATAAGGATATAATGATTGGATGATTATAGTTGGGTGATACTGGTTCTCCAGATATGTATCATTCTAATGAGAACATTCAACACATTTTTTCAACGGAATACCATAACCTCACCGTAAGGACTGCAAGCATTGGCCACCTTGAAAAATTCTAAATAATTCATGTTATTATAAGTTTTCAATGTAAAAAACTTTGATCTTTTTTAGAACTCTTTTTTTTTTTTAATGTGTAGCTGAAGTTAAGATGTTAAATACTTTTTTTTCTTACTGTAAATATTCTAGCACACAATAATTAGAAAAAAATTATCCTTAATATTTTTTATAAATTGGCTATTCACAAATGATTGTATTTTTTTCATAATTTATTATTAAAATTCAAATCTTTGCATATTACTTTTAAATTCAACCACAAATAAATATAAAGCTATAAGATAAAAACTTCAAAATCTTAAAATATTTAAATTTATTTTAAAATAAATATAATATAAAATTAATTAATTATTATGTATTTTATTTATAGGCCAAATATTTCCCTTTAAAAAACCCTGCTGAACCCTTAGAACCTTAGCCAGCCACAGTCTCTATAAATTCAATTCCCGTCATTGCATTCGCAACCCACCTCATCCTCCGACCCGTCATCTCTTCCACCGCGAAAACCCTAGATCCTTCGCAACTCCTCTCCAATGTCCAACCAGATCTACTATGGCTCAACTTACACGAGCGGCGGAGTAGGTGGTTACACACTACGAGCCGCCGATCCCTACCTTCCCTCTGCCATCGGTTCCTCCCGGTACTCCACTGATGGGTTCGCCATTGCCGACGTCGGCGAGCGGACTTCTTCCCTGTCCTCAAGCCAGACCAACGGTTTGAAGCTTTCTAGTGTGGAAATCCGCGGCGTCGGCGGAGGTGGGAGCTACTCGCTTGGGAAGATTGGCGGGGCTCCGACGTCGATGTCGTGGCTTGGGGTTGATGGGTTGAGTGATGTGGGATCGAAGAGGTCCGCTGAAGGTGAGAGTGTTTACTTTTTGTTTATTCGGAGAAAGATTTTGGTTTATTGTTTGATTTTAGTTGATATGCTGTAGGACTAGTGTTCGACTGTATTGAAGTTACAGGTATGTGTTGGTTGCGTAATGATATTTTAGTTTGGTATTTTAGGATATCAGATATTAAACTGGGGTTGATTACAGCTATTCTAGAATTTCTTTTGTCATTTAGGTTAGTTGGTTTGATTTGTTTCTTATGTCTTATTGAGGATAATTTATATAAAATAGTCAAATGATACTTAGTTTTTTTGGAATAGCATAAAAAAGAGTATAAAATGCGTCAATAGGTGGTGAAGTTGAATACAAATGGAATCTGAGAGAATGGTTTGGGAAAGGCAGCATGCCGGAAATTAGGCAAGATATTCATGTAGATGGAGAAGCACTTGGAAGGATTAACGAGATTATAGACAAAAGAAGGGTTAATGGAGTTGATATCAAGTAGTTGGGACGAGGTTGAAGATGCAGATGGTACTGATTAGAATTGTTCCACGAACATTTCATTCTAGATTGTTAAGTGACGAGGTGAAGTTTAGATCAGTCGAAATATCTTATTGTTGTTAAATATGGATTCTCTAGTCTTATTCTTATTTGGCGTTTTGTATCATATGTAGGGCCGGGCCAAGTTATATTGCTAGAAACATGCTACCTTGGTATTATTGGCTCTGTTAGATTGATTGTTTATTTGAAGGATTCATGTTGTAGTTGGTGCAGATCTATTTCTTGTGTATACATTATCAAAATGATTAGAGTTGTAATATTAACTCCTGATTCATTTGTGAAATTGAAGTTGAAACTTCATTGCCTAATTTTCATGCTTTTTAGTGTCCATATTTGATATTTTTGTCTCGATGGCCTATTAAGGCTATCACAAGATTTACTGCACATTTCATGTTAGTGGTAAACTAAATTGAAGTTAAAAAATGATAATCTTTGATGTTGTACTCTTAATTTTTTTTCTCGATCACCCTCTATAGAATTATTTACAGGCATAAGTAGTAATCATTCATCTCACTCTTATGAATGTGTTTTGTATGGCTTAGTTGGTCTCACCCAAAATGTAACCATGAAATTTGCCTTCATGATTCAAAATCCATGATATAAGAAATTTTGTGCTCTCTCTTTCCGATGGCATATGTTAATACATACTGTCTATTGAATAGATCTATCTTTCCGTTGCATATTATGTCACAGGGCTACTATAATAGAAGATTATGTTTGTATGTATTGAATGACTATAACCATTGATTATGTGCTGTGTGAAACATTTGCTCTATAAGGTAGATAAAACAGGCAGAATTATGTTAGAGGTACATTTATTGATAAATATTTGCGATATCTCATCTTAATTTAACCTCGACTTCTTTTCCTTCCTTATTCTGAGAAGTTTGGCAATCAAGTATGCTTTCTATGTATTCTTTCTCCAGCCCATTTTTTTTTTATAATTGATGGAACCTTAGAAGGCTTCTTTGAGGTGCAAGGAATGTAGTGATGAGTCGGATATGTCATATAGTTTCAATTTTTTCCTTCTTAGCATCTGTATCGTTCATCATTGTGTTAGCCAATATTTGCATTTAAATGCATGTAAGATGGACATGTTTCACTAAGAATTGGGAAAAAAATCGATGCATATGTATAAATGCGCTGACACTTATTTAAATAACACACTAACCATCTGAAGAGCGTGCATGAAAGGACTTAAAAAAAGCCTTCACAATAGTATATATTTATGGACACATTGCATTGCATGCTTGCACATGGTTAAACGAAATAATTAAGAAAATAAAATAAATTTATCTTATAAGAGTATGTTGCTGTTGCTTATCCGCCTCTATTTGGAAAGACAGTTAACTTTTTTTTTTGAAAAACTAAATTTTATGCGATTTGGCTATGTAAAATTGTTGTAACCGTTGTTATTGAGTATGTTAAATTGATTATTCCCATAAATGTTTTTCCTATTTACATATATCTTCATGGAATTAAGTGTGGGGTTTGGGTACCATATTTCTTAAAAAAAATACTATGTTTAATAGTCTGCGGTTCATTGAAGATTTGCAATATTTTTGGGGATGATATATTTTGCAATTCTTTGGACACTTTATGTAATTCTTCTGCAGGCTAGGTTTGACACATCATGTAGTGCTGAAGGGGATTGAATGGAAAATTAGGACTCATAAGGCAAACCCTAATTTGTTGGGATAATGCTACTAATAATGATTGGACACTCTTTATTACCTACAACTCAACATTTTGGAGCATATTATATCAATAGTTGGTTGAAGGCATAAATTGTTGAGGTTATTTGAAAATTGGTAGGATAGGTTACTTAGAAAGTCCTCTGAGGTACTTGGCCAGAATATTCAGTAGATAGATTAGCCAAGATATCTAACACTCCCATGACATGGTGAAGATGATGCAGTACAGAAAAAGTAACATCCGCTAAAGCTTATTAACATGTAGGTTTCAGTGCTTCGTATTCTCTGATTCATCCTTCCAGCAGAAATACACTAAACGGGGGTATGCGGGGTATGCTTGTAATATTGGATCATTGTGATTATTCTAAAAGTCAATGGTCCATCGCCTTTTTTATATTACGGAACTTTGCTCGTCATGGATATATTGCAGTTGCATTACGATATATTGAAGATTCAATGCCAACTTTGGCACATTTATTTTAAGTTACTATTTAGGATTTTTTTTTTTTTGGGTTTCTAGACCGATGTTTGCAATTTTAGATTTCTCAACCCATTGTACATTGCCAGGGCCCACCTTAGATTGACTTACATTATAATACATATGCTCCTTTGATTAGGAAGTACATTAGTTCCACGAAAATTGCTGTTTTTTGTGTCTTTAGGCTTTTGATTGCTACGAGTTAGGGTACTCTTGCATTTCCTAACCATAGTTTTAGACTTTTATGTTGGTAAGGGTTTTTTCTTTTGAAAAAAAATGTAAAATCTCCTTTGCATGGCAAACAAATGATAATTAGTTTTCTTACATTGAACATCCAATAAGGGCGTGATTGCGGTGTTTCTTATTTTGCTTTGTTGTAGTCTAGTTCCTTGGGCATGTCATCTTATTTACTATGGTACTAAGGCTGGATGACAGCTTTTATTTAGATAAAAGGCCATTCAATTAATTTCCATATATTTCCTTACAAATTATATGATACTTTGTTATTACAGTAAATGTTTTCAGTTGTGTTAGTTGATATTATAAATTACTACTTGTATGCTTCTGTTATCTTATTATATTTTCTCTACTATCTACGTATAGCTCTCTACAATCAGAGTATTTTGGCATATAACACTATTGGCCAAAGTGATGCTTTATTGTCCAAATACTCTTTGGTCAAACGCCCTAGAGTCGTGAGTGCAAGCCACCTGCCTTTGTATCCTGAACGGCCTGGAGAGAAGGATTGTGCTTACTATATGATGACAAGAACCTGTAAATTTGGAGATGCTTGCAAGTTTGATCATCCAATTTGGGTTCCTGAAGGGGGAATCCCAGACTGGAAAGAGGTGACTACTACTATTCTTTTTATATATGGGAGTTTTAAGTACTATGATTACTACTATAGGATAGTTCTCTGAATATACGCACTCGTTATTACTTTAATGAATTCTTTCAAATTTTCTAGTTATTTTATTATATATTATCAGCTGGGTACGTTTTTGAGGTTGGTTTTTGAACTATTACGCCATGAAATGTCATTCTTTGTTATGTTTTGAAAACCTATAATTTTTTTATTCTTTATATGATATTTTCTATATATTCTCAAGAAGTGTTAGCTTTTTCATACATGTTCTTGTCTACCAATAATGCAAGAATTTAATAGACCATATTTAGGTGGTAGTTGGCGGCAAATTATTTTGAATTTGTTAACTATGTTATATATCTTGATATATATTATTTGTGCTGCTATTGATAATGATGCTACCAGGTAAATGTATTCATAATATCGTGTGATAATTGTTCAAATAATGGATCAGGTTTAAATTATGGGCTTAGTTAAAAGTTTGAGCTGGGCCAAAGAAAGGCCTGCCAACTTGTTTTGGTTAACTGAAGTTGTTCATATGGATATCTGATTGCCATGCGTCACAAATTTAAAGGACTTCAGACACACACACACATACTAAACTAGTGTACATGGAAAAAGGCGTACTTGCCGTGTTATATATCTACATTATGAGACAATTCTGAATTTGAAATCTAATGCATTTCACATCATGCAAATTATTGCTTATAAAATGAAATATATTATATGATACAATTTTAATTTTTAGATAATTATTTACTTAGCATTTAGCCATTTAACTATTACATTCTGCATACACTTATTTTTAAATTTGAATTTAAATTGATTCATTGAAAAATATAACTATTTTATTTCTATGAAATCATGCACGTCAACTATTATAATTTAATTTATTTTATTAATCTTTAGTTTTCCAATCAGGACCTTAGAAACAACTAACAATTTCAATTTATTTTTATTATTTTTATCATCTCTTGTAGTGTAATTGCATTGATTAGTCTGTGTGTTTATATAAAAGAATATATAGATTTGTATTAACTAGAAATAATATATTGTTCATTTGCATCAGAATAGTTCATATATAAGAATTGAGTTTTTTTGGACAAGCAATGCTGAGCTTGAGCGATTGACCTATTCATTTTGGATGGAGTATGAGCGTAAATTTTTTCATTGTTCGAGCGGTTGTCTTGATTAGTCAGATAGGATTACTAACTTGATTTGACAAGCTGACTTGGTTTGACATGACCTGATTTAATAAACTAACCCATCTGATGTATTTTTTACTATGTAACTGAATATATCTAGCGGTTTCATCGCTTACAACTTAAAAGAAATATGCCCTTTGTGTTAGTTGGCCCAAGTAGAGAAGCATCTCAAGGTTCTGTGAGATTGGATATATTAACCTTTATAATATAATTAGTATTTGAATGCAGTTAGTATTCTTCAAATATTGTAAGCTAATGTAAAAAGTTTATATGATAGTTCGTTTGTAGTTGCAAAGAGGATTGTGATATAGTCATTTAGCCGCACAGAGAGCATGTCATTTGTTAACTGAAGAAAATATGCTCAACTAAACCACCTGTAAAAACTTGCATGGGCTGTTGATGTAAATCCTCCAAGTTAACCATACTGATTGATTTTGTGCATAGAAAATGTTTTTTTAAATCTTCCTGATTACTTTAACCAACTTTTATCCCTTCCACCTCTCTTTTGTTGCTGATCTCTTCTTTGCTATCTTCACTTTAATTCCCCTTTGGCCTCAAATGCAACATCCCATGGATTGCGCTGCTTATCACCATCATGGTTTGCCTCAACTATTCCATTCCTATACTCCTTCGCCACTGAAGGTCAAGGACCATGCTACGGCTCATATGAGTAAGGGAATTTTCACTGTAAGACAGTTTTTTTTGTTGAGGACCTTGTAGCTAATGACACTTTAAAGTAGGAGATCACTACCCCACGTTGCACTAAAGGCCTCTTGGTATGTGATGTGATGATGTTGTCTTCATAGATTGTGATCTTGGTTGGGAAAATCATCATTGAGAAGGGATCTATTTTCACTTGTTCATCATCTCAAAGATGGTGTCCAAGAACAATTACTGTTTCTAGAGAAATATCCATCCCATAGCTAAGGAAACATGCTTGAAAGCTATGTCAGTTTGCCAAAATTTTTTGTTGAAACCCTCTGGTTGTCGAGCAAGGGGTGATGCCACATCTCATAAATTTGATATTGTATTTAATTTGGTCTGTTTGAGATTAAATGGGACATAATCGAGATTTAATTGTACAAAATAAAATTAATGTGTTTGTATGCATATGTTGCTGTATCAGTGGAGATGTTTACTAATCTTTCACTTATGACTTGGATTAGGTTTATTTTGGTCTAATTTCTATAAACTAGTATATTCTATTGATGGAATTGTCAGCTGAGCATACTCTCTCATTTAACACAATTAAGCTGTACTCTTGGACCAAATTTTCTTGTCTAATACCTTAAAAAAAGCCATTATAGTTCTCCAAAATGTAGGTAAGAAATCTCTAGTTTCAACTTGTTTTGGCACTTTGGCATAGTTACGAATTAATTTTTAACACTGTTTCTTTGTGCAGGTTCCACATAATCCTGCACCTGAATCCCTTCCGGAGAGACCAGGAGAACCTGATTGTCCTGTAAGATTTGAGTGTATATTTCAATTAAGGGCTTTATTATTATCCCCAGTCTTTAACTTTATTAACCTTGCTTTTTTTTGTTTACAATGTGCAGTACTTTTTGAAGACTCAAAAGTGCAAATATGGTTTGAATTGCAAGTTCAACCATCCCAAAGAGAAATTAGATTCTTCAACAGGTGTAGTACAGGTAGGATTTATCTGACTTATTATGCTCTGCTGTTTCCACCTTTATGCTATACGTTATTCATCTCAATTTAATACACATGCAGAGCAATGAAATTTATGCCAACTCAGAATTACCGGAAAGGCCATCAGAACCTGTATGCGCGGTGAGTTTGCTTTCTCAAAACAATCTAACTTTTTCTTGATTATCCTTTAGAACACCCTTTCTTGATTATCCTTTATAACACCCTTTCTTGATTAAAATTTCTTTCTCTAGTTTTATGCAAAGACCGGAAAGTGTAAATTTGGTGGAAATTGCAAATTTCATCATCCAAAGGACACTCTGATACAGTCAGCTGGAAAAGACATAGGTAGTGCTGCAAATAATGAACCGACAACAAATAATGATAATGCTACCAATGGTTATTCAAAACAAACGAAGACATTCATTCCATTCACACCTGCTTTATGGCATAATTCTAAGGGCCTACCCATTCGACCGGTAAGCTTTTTCATCCAGCGATAGAAACTTTGGACAGTTAAAATGTGGTGTTAATAACTTATTTTTGTAACCGATTGCGTTATATGAATTGTTTCTTCTTTTATAGGGTGAAACAGATTGCCCATTCTACCTAAAAACTGGCAGGTAAGATTTACTTATTTCTCCTTCATGCGGAAAGGATCTTACCAATAAGTCTAGGACCCTCAGATATCTTATTTTCTTGTTTCCATTCTGCACAGCTGCAAATATGGTGCTACTTGTCGATATAGTCACCCAGACAGATATTGTATGTTTTTTGCACTATTATAGCCTTTTCTTTGGAGACAACTCAACTGTTTCTTTCCTACACTTATGATTCTTTTTTGGTTTGCAATCTTCTGCAGTGATCAGTACTCCTGTTACTGCTAATATAAACAACGCAATTATAACTCCACCAGTTGCTACTGTACCAGTTGGAGTCATAAATCCAGCGGCTAGCTTTCTCCCGTCTTTAGATCCTCGTTTATCTCAGGTTTATGCAGCATAACTCACTCCAATCAGCTTTCTTATATGACTTACGATGATTGTTTAAATTGAGCTTTTTTTTTTTTTTTGGCCATTGTGATCTGCGAGTTTACATTTTAATGCTTCATGGACTAACATACCTTGTTACTGCTACAGTTTGGAGTTGGAGCAGCCATATATCCTCAAAGGCCTGGAGAAATTGAATGCGATGTATGTTATCTATATGAACTTTTGCACCATTATTATGATTGCCCGCTTCAAATGTGTGGTTGTTTTCTTGATCTTAAAGCTGTGCATTTATGGAGTAATTTTTTGCATTTTGGTCCGTCAGTTTATTATGTCTTAGATTCGCTTTGTTGTCTTTTGCTTAATTGGTTCTTTTTAGGTTTTGCTAAGCAAGGAAGCTGTCCTCTTGAATGTTATTTTCTTCGCAATGGTATTTTATCTTGGTGGACTATTTCTAGTTTGGTCTAAGAAGTTAGAACCATACAGACTAACTTGTTATTATGCTGTGGCCTTGTCTCTAGGTTATCTTTTAAACATTATAGGTTTTGTCATTATCATCAACAGCAGCAGCTGCTGCTATTATGTTATGGGATGAACTTTTTGCCTTTTTGGAGGACAATGATTGCTCTATTAATTCTACTTTTAGCATCAATCACTTTACATAATCATCAAACTCAAGATCATATTGTTGATTATAATATATTATATGAAATTATTTGCGAACGAAGTTTCATTAATTTTCATAGTAATTAAATCATTCATTGAGCTTATATAAAAAAATAATTGGATGACATATAAAACCCTTTTAAAGTCAAACTTTACACTTCACTAAGTATCACTATTCAATACTACTACAACAAAAACAGCATCAAGCCTTTATCCCACTACATGGGGTCGGCAACATGAATACTTTTTTTTCCATTATGTCCTGTTAATAGTCAAATTTTCATTTAAATCTAATAAAGAAATGTCATTTCTAAAATTTTCTAACCAAGACTTTTTAGGTCTACCTCTACCTTTCTTAACATAAGTCAAATCTAATACATCTATTTTTCTAATTTGGTCATCAGAAGGCCGCTGTTTTATGTGACCAAACCATCTAAGGTGACTCTCTTTAATCTTATCTTCCACTGGAGCTATTCTAACATTTTCACGTATATGCTCATTTCGTATCCCGTCTCTAAGAGTAAAGCCACTCATGCACCTAAGCATCCTCATCTCTTCAACGCTTAATATTATGTTTCTCTTTTAATGGCCAATATTCTGCACCATAAAGTATTGCAAGTCTCACCATCATCTTATAGAAATTTCACTTAAGCTTGAGGGGGACTTTTCTATCGCACAACAAGCTCAATGCATTCCTCCACTTCAACCATCCGACTTGAATTCTACTAACAATATCCACATCTATTTCACCACCACTTTGATCAATAAACCCAAGATATCTAAAACGTGTACTCTTATTAATGACTTGATCCCCCAAAGTCAGAATCCCCCACTATATCTATTACTACTAAAATTACACTCCATGCATTCAATTTTAGATCCACTCAAACGAAAATCTTTAGACTCTAAGGTCGACCTCCATAATTCAAGTTTACCTTCAACTCCCTCTCTAGTCTTATCAACAAGAAGAATTTCATCAACAAAAAGCATACATCAGGGCACATTCTCTTGCAATGCAATATATGATGAGAACATCCATGGCTAAAGCAAAAAGATATGAGCTTAAGGCTGATCCTTGATGTAATCCGATTGAAATAGGAAAATACTTAGTCAAACCACATTGCGCTTGAACACAAGTAACAACTCTTGCTTACATATCCTTAATGATTTGAATATAAGCATTATATACCCTTTTCTTTTCTAGAACTCTCCATAACACTTCTCTTAGAACTTCTAATAGGATGTTTGCAATGAATGGGATAGGATTCTTGTGGTGTTGTGATTCTATTGGCTTTGAGAAATTGTAAAATTAGGTTAAAATGGATCAAACATTGTAAGTTACAACAACGATTGGATAAGGAGGGCCTTATATAGCCGCGCTAAATGGCCTCATAAACTCTCTTCTCATTTGTAGTTATTATGTAGCAGCGGTGTCTGTTAATTATGAATGCAATTGACTCTAAAATTAGAGATGTCATGATTTATTTGCATGCAGTACTATATGAAGACTGGCCAATGCAAGTTTGCAGAGAGATGCAGGTTCCATCACCCCATAGATAGATCAGCACCAATTGCAAGTGTCAACAAGCAAGCTCAACAAGCTGTCAAACTTAGTCTTGCTGGTCTCCCAAGAAGAGAGGTACACTTTTTTTTTTTCTTTCTCATAATTGTAAAACTATTCGCTCTAGTACGGATAGATACCTGTAGGATGTGTAGTGCTTTCGCTTTCTTACTGCAAGCAGCTATTAGTATTCATTTACCATTTTGAGGCTTAGACGGGCATGAAATATTTATTCATCAACTATAGTGGATATTTCTTTAATAAATTTCTTGTATGATACCCAAATAAAATAAAAAACTTTTTAAAAAATAGTTGTCATTATAAGAAATTAAAAAACATGGGCTAGTGAAGGATTTGTATTGCCAATTAGGGGTGTCAATATTTGACATGACAAAAAAATTTGATCCGAACCAAAAATTTTAGGTTTGGGTTGACCAGAACCGGGTTGGGTTCGGGTTGGGGTTTTCGGCCCATTTAAAAAATCGGGTTGGGTTCGGGTTGACCCGAAAACCTGGGAATGACCTGAACTGCCTGGCCTAACTAGAGCTAATGCCCGCGTCGCGTGTCGCATCCCTGTTGTCCCGCGCCATGTCCGTGTCGGTTTGCCCGTCGCGCTGACCCGCCTGCCTGTCGTTGCCGCGTCGCTTCCCGCCTTCCCCATTTCCCGATTGACGACACTATCGGCTGCCGCTCCGCCGGTTTTCGGCCTGTCGTTGCCGACCTGTTGTTGTTGTGTCAGCAGGTTGGGTTAGGTTGACCTGAAGCGGGTCGGGTTCAAATCCAAAAAACTGACCCGCTTACAGAAATGGGTCGGGTTCGGGTTGACCAGAATAATGCCGTTCAGTTTTGGGTTCGACCCAAACCTAACCCATGACCCGAAATTGCACCCCTTATTGCTAATGATGCCATCCTTGCTAGAAATCTGAAGGCTGGTATTGCTGTTCTGATTTAAGTTAGTGTCTTTTCAAGAGTGAATGAGTAGCTCAAAATTTTGGCCGACTCTCGAGCTCTACTTACAATAACTATTTGTGTAAATTTTATCTGATGGAAAACGAATCATGAAAATTACATTCTGTTATTTTTGGAGGTTGTGGTGACCTGAAGACCTAATTCGGAGTTACCGCAAGGTTGTGGAAGGCCAAAGTAAACGTGTATATTAAGAAGAATTTCTTAAACAATAAACCCTAAAAATTCACAATTTAAAAACTGTATATAGTGAGATTTGAACATATAGTGCAATAATTTTCTTCCCCACAGGGTTCGGTTGCCTGCCCGTTCTATATGAAGACAGGCACTTGCAAGTACGGGGCGATGTGCAGATTTGACCACCCTCCTCCAGGAGAAGCCATAGCCATGTCGACCATTCAAGAAAGCGGAGAAGTGGAAAAAGATGAGGCTGAGATTGGTCAGTAGTAAATTACGGTTTGATTAACTTTTATTACAGTATTTTGCAGGTGAGCTTTCTTCCTTTTAAGCTGTGAAGGTTAGCATGCTCTCATGATGTTTGGTTGTGTTGACGATTTCGTTGTGAAATTTCCTTCTTATTATTAGTCTGTTGTTTTCTTCATATTATATGCTTAACGGTGTTATTTTGTTGGCACCCAGAACTCTTATATGGCACTCATTATTCTTCATCTATTTGTCCTTATTTTTTTTCTTTATATGTTTATTCAATGTTTAGGGTTTAGGTGTAGAGTTGAAAATATTATTTATGAGTTCATATATATATATGAAAAATGATCAAAGTGATTCATAATTATATTAATAATTCTATCATAAGATTATTTTGATTTTTTTTTTTAAGATTTGGGAGATTTAAAATAATATTTTAATATAATTGAGAATTATTTTAACCATTCATAAAGAGCCAGAAGATCATTTTGATATTTTTTTCATTAAGAAGCCAAAGGAAAAAAAAAGAAGAAGTTCGAACTCATTTGTTTAATAAACTTAGGCCTCATTTGAGATGGCTTAATTTTGCATTTGATAAATCAATTTTTGTTAAATTAAATTGAGATTAAATAAGCTGGTCAAAACAAGCTTCGTAAGGTTGAGCTTTAGGAAACCAGTTGAAATTACGATGATAGGCTTCTTGGTTCCTCCATTGTGCAGTCTTATAGCATGTGAATTTAATAATGAACCAATTAGAATTTAAGCGATTCAAAAAATTACAAATGAGATGGATCAATCATGAAGAAGCCTTGAAATTTTGTACTCAAAATTCTGAAGCTGAATCAAACATAATTTGATCATACTCCCTAGCAACAAATGCATGTAATGCTTTAATATATTATGAAAAACTTAAATCATGCTTAGATTTTGTTTGAGATGGAAAAAGCAAAATAATAAGTTGTCTCAAACAAAGCAGTTTATCCCATTGAAGAATGAGGAGATTTTGCCATAAAAATAAAGTTGGTTCTCGTGAGCTATTACATTGGCAGAATTTTAAAGATTCACACTCATCAGCTTTCCAAAATTATTATGTGCGGACATCAGATTATTCAGCGACAAATGAGCGTGTCATAGAATAACTAATCCACCAACGGACTCTTCCTTAACCAACTCATGCGTAAGTTGCATATGTTATGTGAATTATGTATTCCAGAAACAATTATATTTTTACTAATATGAAAAACTCTGAATCTATGACGGAATAAATCATACATGCTATAGGAAATCAGGAATTCATGCAACTAAAGAGTAGAAGTTATCAGAATGTCTAAATGTAGCAAATTTGAACGAGTGAAGTACCTTCAGGATTGTTACCAAACGCTATGTGTGTTAAAAAGCTCAAGTTTGAAGCGAAACAATATAAATACTGTCAAAATAGAAAGGATCTCAACATAATCAATGGAGTCAGGTTAACTAAAACCAATCATATAAACTGATCCTATCTCTCCCAAAGTCCTCCCAATCAGATATAGAGTGCAATACAATTATTAGCTTCTGCTAAACAAAGATGTGTATTAGCAGCAAATGCTATATTAACTTACTTATTATTCAACTAAATTTCTTCATAGTTTCGCTTTCAGCTCCTCTGCAACGGCATCAATGAACTCCTCTGTGCTCAGATACTGCCCTCGTTTCAAACTGGATAAAATTCAAAAGGTTTAGACAATAGCAGTTTACAATGGGAGGTCAGAGAAAATTCCAGGTATTAGAATTTGACAAACAGTACTTTGAACCATGAATGATGAGAGCGAGATCTTTGGTCATCTTCCCTGACTCCACGGTCCCGACGCACGCAGCCTCTAGCTTTTCAGTGAAGGCTAGCAGTTGGGCATTATCGTCCAGTTTAGCCCTGACATTTGATACAATTAAATCAGGATAATTTCTCCCTCTTATAAATAACTAAATAGTTTCTCACTATTTAATAAGATTTAACGGTTGTCATACCAAATAAATTTTCACATTTAATCCTCTAAAGATTTACTAAAAATCTTAATTTACATATTAAGTATATCCTAATGGTAAACCAAAGAGCCCTAGATACCTTGCTAGATGCTATATACACTAATTGTAACAACCCAAATTCTTAATTATCGAGATATTGTCCGTTCTGGCCTAAGAGCCTCACGGTTTTGTCATGTTACTGTAACTTTCTAGTAGGTCACTCATCCCAGAATTGCTCATCTCAGAGCACGCTTAACTACGGAGTTTCTTACTAAAATTTCAGACATTACATCAAAAGGGACGTCTCAATGTTTAAAAATTAATTTTCTTTAACTTAAGGAGTTTCACAGTCGAAGCGAACAACCTACTAATCTGGGCAAATTATTAGGTCCGGTCACCTGACAGACAGATAGATACATCCGGATTTCTCTATGTCTAGCAGCTGCGCTTTTATTGTAGACATAGAGAAATCCGGATGTATCTCTCTGTCAGGTGACTGTACCTAATAATTTTCCCCCTAATCTGAGCTTGGAACCAGAAATTAGCAATTTAAAAGAAACTAGAATATTCTAGAACGTAAAATCGTAATATTACCTGTGTGCTAATCCTCGGGTCCATGCAAAGATCGAGGCAATGCTATTTGTGCTAGTTTCACCACCTTTCTGATGAACACGATAGTGACGTGTTACGGTGCCATGCGCTGCCTCCGCTTCAATTGTCTTTCCATCTGGGCACACCTGCAAATAAGAAATTTTAAGTTAATATAAAATAATTATTTAAATAAATTAATATGAATAATAAATTTTTATGTAATTAAAATTTTTAAATTTTAGAGTAAATATAAGAATTTAGATGTTTGATGGATAGATATATAAAAATTCAGACCATGAGAATTTAGTAGGTTTGTCCAAATATTTGAAAATGCTTTTATGATTCAAGTAGATGTTTAGCTTTATTTGGTTCTCTTATTATTTTGAACTTAATAGTTATAGCATGGAAAGTTGGTCCTCATATTAAGCAGCCTTCTGCCTCTATTTTAGCCATACAACAACAACAACAACATCAAGCTTTTGTCCCATTACATGGGGTCGGCTACATGAATCATTTTTCGTTGTTGTGTCCTGTTAAAAGTCAAATTCTCATTTAAATCTAATAAATAAATATCATTTCTAATATTTTCTAAGCAAGTCTTTTTAGGTCTATCTCTACCTTACTTAACATAAGTCAAATCTAATACCTCGACTTTCCTAACCGGGTCATCAGAATGCCTCCGTTTAATATGACCAAACCATCAAAGGCGACTCTCTCTAATCTTATATTCACGTATATGCTCATTTTGTATCCTATCTCTAAGGGTAAAGCCACTCATCCACTTATTATTATGCTTCTCTTTTAATGGCCAACATTCGGCACCACAAAGCATTGCAGGTCTCTATTTTGGCTATAGCAGCTCACGAAAACAAGATAAAAGCCTTATTCATATATGAATTATCTGTTGAAATACTTACAAGAACCGATGTCATCAGACCAAGAGAGCCAAATCCTGCGTAGAAAAGGAAAAAAGAAATAAAAGAGTTACAATAGACCATTTGATATCTATAAGCATCCTATAGCTTTGGTTTTATATAGATCCAGACCTTGAGCTAAGAAATCGCTCTGCACATCTCCATCATAGTTCTTGCAGGCCCACACGTAGCCGCCTTCGCTCTTGAGCGCATAGGCTACCATATCATCAATTAGCCGATGTTCATACCTAACAGCCATATAAAACATTGAGATTGTTGGTAATAAAAAGCATTTACATTGAAAATTTTTATTGCCAGCTGAAAAGAACTCACCAGATTCCAGAATCCTCAAACAAGGATTTCCACTTAGATTCATAAACTTCCTGGAATATATCTTTGAATCTGTACAAATATATCAAGCAAGTAATTAGTGTTAGAATAATTAAGTATAATAATTATGCGAGACATCGCAGTAATTATTTAAGTATATAAACTATTAAGTGGCTCATACATTTTAATTATTGAAATTCTATTTAATAATTCATTAATAATTTAATTGTTTATATGAAATCCTATTGGTCAAGAAGAGAAATTTGATCAATCGTTTATATACAATTTGATCAAATAACTCATATGAGCGGTTTTTATAACTAATCCGTAAGAAATAACTACATGTCCTCTCTCTCTCTCTCATTATGGGCAAATTATTGCATCAGGTCACCGGACGCGGAGAATAGGTTCGGACGTCCAATAAAAATTTGCCACGTCACATGCGCTTTTGACTTGCGCTTTAGTTGCGCTTTGACTGTGCTTTACCTGCGCTTTTGACGCGCTAAATTTAAAATAATATTTTATTAATATCCGGACCTATCTCCGCGTCCGGTGACCGGATGCAATAATTTGCCCTCATTATGAGGGTTAGTTTGTTCCATAGAGAATTAACTCATAAAGAAGAAAGTGAAAAGGGAAAAGAGTGAAGAATCTTAGTTCGGAATTCAACAAATTCAACATGAATCAATGTATGTTTTCTTCCTATTAAAATATTGTGAAAATCATCTTGTTCAAGATCTTGTGGATTTAAGATTTATATAAATTCATATTTTCATTTCGATTTCTTTTACATTATTTACATTGCGAGTTTTTGCCAGAGTTAGAAAACTTATTTTTTCATATTGTGAGTTCTTGTAAGAGTGAGAGAAATTTAATCTAAAAATTAGAAGGAAAGCTGCAGCAAAATTGTTAAGTGATCGTATATAAATGGTTATAAAGGTTTAATACCTTCCATCATACTTCTTAAGAATAGTGTTTTTGGTGCTAAGGTATAGTGGCCACTTTTTCTGATAAGCAGTATTCATAGAAGCATCGGCAAAGGCACGGATGGACTGCATGGAACAACAGTAGTGGAAGTAATATAGGTAAAAATTCAAAAAGAAGAAGGAAAAGGTTGATTCAAACAGATATCATGGCTACAGGTTATGAAACCTCATCAGTATTGTACATGGACAGTGCTACTCCGCCCTCTCCAGTGAAGTTGAAGACCTCCAAATCAATCTGTTCCTCTTTTCCCTCTGGAAATGCAAGTACAAAACTCAAGTGCTAAGTGTATGTAAGCATTAAATGGCACATAATTATATCTTTTTAAAAATTTGATGTACTAAAGACTTAGATTAAATTTTCTTAGAAAGTTGATTTAAGAAGCAATAAAAAAGCCTTTCCAAACAAACTCTTAGTATAGGAGGATTTACATACACACCACTAAATTTTTTGGTATTTATATATCCAATACCAAAATTTTTTAATTTTTTTCTTAAATAACACCCTAATCTCTAATTGGCAAAAAAAATATCATTAACAGTCATTCATTTAAAGTGAAATTAGTCAATTCATGCATATGTTTTGGAACTTTTATTAGGTCCGGTGTAAGGACGTAGAGGAAGGTCCGGTCGGAGGCAAAATTCCGCGAAAAAACTCGGTATTTGCTAGGTATTATTTGATAATAACAATAAATACCGCTCTGTGAAGACCAATATCGAGTTATACCGAGCTATACCGAGCAATACCGTGTTGTACCGAGTTTTTTCTAGGAAAAACTCGGTACAACTTTTGTATAACTCGGTATTGCTCGGTATAGCTCAGTATTGGGTCTTCACGTGATGGTATTCCTCGTTATTGTTTGGTATTGCTCGGTATTTGCTCGGTATTTCACGTTTTTTGGCGCGATTTGGCCTCCGACCGGACGTTCCTCTAGGTCCGGTCGGAGGACGTAATAATTGTTCTATGTTTTGATGTCATTTAAATAATAGGGTGCTATAAAGATTTAGGAGTTAGTATGTAAATACATCAAATTTAATGGCATGCATGTAAATCCCCTAAAAAGTAAGTGTTTGATATTCATTAGTATTATATAAACAAAAATCAAGTATGAAACACGAAATAAATTCTACAAATCCTACCAAATACTAGTTTGAGCTTCCCAGGTCCTTTGACTACAAAATCAGTAGCTCTATATTGATCACCGAAAGCATGCCTTCCAATGCAAATGGGCTTTGTCCATCCTAAAAATAATAGAGAAAATAAGAGACAAAAATTCTATTATTACAGATTTTTAAGTAAAATTCCCTCCCAAGTTACCTGGAACAAGTCTTGGGACATTCTTGCATAAGATTGGCTCCCTGAAAACAGTACCTGCATAAACGGGGAGTATCATAATTTATAAGATTATTAATGGATTAAAGGCCTTCAATGTTCAAGTGTGGTACGCTTTCTGACCATTCAAAATGTTTCTAATTGTTCCATTTGGACTTTTCCACATAGCTTTCAAGTTGAATTCCTTAACGCGAGCTTCATCTGCCATGTTATGAGAAGCTAACTGAGACCGTACAAGAGCTCTAAAACATTAATAATAAATAAACACATCTAATTCAATTAGTCCAAACTTACCAGGAGTTATTGTTGCGCATTTGATGGCTACGTTATATCTGCATTCAAAATCATGTTCGTTTTAGCTCAAATATTAAGATATAGAAGAATATCCCCAAACAAAAAAAAAAAAAGAAAAGAAAAAAAAAGGGATAATTTTTTTCCATTCTTAGCAGTCGATAAAAGAACCCATACAGTTTGGTTTACTGCGATTTTCTAACTATTTAGAACTTAGAAGGGTAGAAAGAGGGCCACCTTGCTTAGGGTTTAAAACAAAACATACCTTCTAATATTTTCAACTAATATAAGTTTTGTACGATTTAAGCTTTATTTTGGACGGCTTTATTATTACTTCTTAAAGTAGCTTTATAGTACAAATTTTTTAATTTTTATACTAAAAAGCTGCTTTTAGAAGCAACAAGAAAGCTGTCACAAACGAAGCATTAGTAAGACTAGAGTTTAACATCAATTCAATAATAGGGATAAAAGTTGAGAAAACTTTATTCAACCAGAGTTGGAATGGCTATTTTATTCAACTAAAGCTAAGGCTTCGTTTATTTTTTTAGTGCTTTTGTAAAGGACAGTTTTAAAAAATATTAGTTTAAAAAATGGAGTTTTCTAACGGAGAAGCATATATAAAAAGCTTTCTCAAAACTGCAGAAAAATAAAAAAAAAGGAGTTATTGAGAACGTGATTTGACGAACCAAACAACACAAAAAAAAAAATTCCTCCGTTTCCAAAAACGGAAAAGGTAAAAAAACGCTCAAACAAACAAAGCCTAAGTGTATTCCAAATTAACTTATGATATGTTATGTATGGATCATTCATTTAGTTACCTAACAAGGATATATAATATCTCTACACAGGTCCACAAATAAATTGAGAACACACGATGACGTAAAACTAAGGCTTCGTTTGGGACGACTTTCTTTCTGCTTCTTCAAGCAGCTTTCTAATATAAAAATTTTAATTTTTGTACTAGAAAGTTTCTTTATGAAGTAGTAAGAAAGACGGCACAAACAAAACCTAAGTCTAGATAACTGCCAATCAGAGGCAAAGCTAGTAGCTTAGAACCTACTCGATAAGACGGGCAAAATATGACTTTGTCACATAATTTTCCACTTGACGACAACATACTCATCTAGAACTATTAAAAAGATCGATATATGATGGAGTCCACATCATAGACATTAAGCCCCCCATTTTGCTCGGCTCATATGATTTGATGCACTTTTAGCAAAGGAATCATGAATTGATTAAGAAGCAAAGTGAGATAGAGAGCTATTCTTCAAGCATAAATGATGCCCTCCCCAAATCACCAAGCGACATTTCTCCAATGCAATTACGAGTTGCCAAATTAGAAGGAAAATATGTGTCCCATTTATTTGATTGCATTTTAGTCGTCGTAACAAACCCGTATAATAAAATGAGGCTCATATATAGGAAACACTTGTAGATCTCAAGAATTTTCTATCGATCTTCGGAAAACAATGAGAATTCTCCAAAAAAATGAACACAAAACAAGAAACATAGTAGTTATTTTGTATTATTTGATGAAATAGAAACGGGAAATAGCGAGATACAATTGATCCTCAATTCGACAGGAGGATCGATCTCTCCGAAATCTCTAGATGCCGCTAGAGCCTAAAAGAAACCTAAACCTAAGAGATATCAAAATTTAGCTAAATTCAAGATGCCCTAACCCTAGGGAAACAAACTATTTAATGCATACAAATCAAAAGGAAATCTCTAGACAGTCCCTACATTCAAATTCCCTCACAATTCCCTCAAAAAACCTTCCAAAAAAACTCCATTGATCTCACGGCATGCGCAGAAGGTGGAGAAATTCCGACACTATTGCGCTGGCCAGTCCCATGTGGATCAGCTGGACCGATCCAATGGACCATTCTAACAGAGGCAAGAGATTCTTTTTTTCCACTGCATAAGAGGTCTTATCCAATAAAATATCAAATCTAACATGAGCTGAAGGATCTTTTCAATCTCTATTGACCTAAGCATCCAAAATAGCAAAAAAGAAAAGAAATTTTAACCTAAATCCTTCTCTTACATTCCTCTCACAAAGTATTTTTTTTCTGTTAATTCTTGTTTGGCTCAAGAATGTCATTGTTCATATTTTAGAACTCTCATTAAGACATTGAAGCAAGAATATGCGGAATTTGAGATATACCAAATTTCAGATCTTATACTTCTCATCAGGTGGAGGAAGCTCAAGAATGTCATTGTTTTCACTATTCTAGTGCAGTTAATCCCAGTAGTATAACTTAGTATAGATGTGTTTGGACAACCACTCATAATTGCAATTATCAATTTCAAGTCTTGGGGGAAGTTGGTCTCAATAAGGCAAGCTACTCTTTGTCATCTTGACCATGCTACTATTCTTAATGAATCAACAAATTTCTTAGTTATCATAGTTGATGCCAATTTAAGAGTGTTTAGAATGGGGCTCAAGATGAGATTCTTCCCGCCTGATAAGAAATATCATAATCCTATTTGATTTCCATGTCATCTTCCTCATATGTCAACTATTTGGCACATCTTTCTAATTTCTCAGCTATGTGGCATAATATTTTTATTCTGTCATAAGAGAGGTCTTATCTTATAAGTATATCTAATATAATGCAAACTGAAGGATATTTTGGATCTCTATAAGCAAAAGTGTCCTAAATAGCAAACTTAAAGTATTTCCGCATAAGTACTTCTCTTTAATCTCCTCTCATCAAAGAAAATTTTCCGTCAACAAGTGTTCGACTCAAGAATGTTGATCATTAACATTCAAATTATACTCATATTTGATTATTTTCTTTTAAATTTTCCCCAAAAATAGAACAAAATACTATCACAACTAGCTAATAGAAAGTGTATTTAAAAAAAACTAACTTTAAAAACCTAGCAATAAACAAAAAGGGACAAAATTCTACCTCTGGTAACTAGTACAAAGTGTATTAAAAATAATATTGCAACTAAAAGAAAATAAAAACCAAGAAATTGCAAAAAAAAAGCAAGATTAAAATTGTTGTTCTCTAACATTATCATTCAAATTTGACCCAAAAAAAAAAATTCCTTGGAAAATACTTCAGATGCTGAGGAAAAGACAAAAGAAAGAGTACACAAAGTTGCTCCGTACTTAAGAGTTGCTTCTGCGCTCTCCACAGTAACTTTATCATCTGTAGAATCACGATGAGGAAGGCCCAAATCGAAGTATTTTATGTCCAATTCCAAGAATGGAAGAATAAGCTACAAAATCCAACAATGCATGTCTAAGATGAACTTAATCATGAAAATGAAATAACACAGAAAACAAAAGAAAAATGTGACATTCACCTTGTCTTTTATATATTTCCAAATGACTCTAGTCATCTCATCACCTGCAAAACAATAATAACATAAATTACATGTTCTATTAGTAATGATTACATGTCAAGATAGAGGTATCTAGAGAAAACAAAAGCTTGTGTGCTCCGTCGACAATTAATTCTTTTCCTCAATCACGAGGAAATGCAATAACGTTCGGACTACAAAAGAATATGACTTATATTGTTTGATGTTTTGAGACCGAAGAATTACAAAATGAGAATCAAATGTCAAAAAACAACCAAAGAGAAATATAGTCAAAAGTATAAAGCATAAAATAATAACCGTGTTTATGTCACACTCAAACTTCTGGGCAAAAACAAAAGAAAGCTTAAATATTGATTAAAATTTACAAATTAGAGCCTTTATTCAAATAGAACAGAAATCTCAATAAATGCAAGTGGCACAAAAATAAACAAACATGATAACTTTTGAACAAAGCTTTTCTCCATCACAGGAGCATGCAAGATATTATGCAAGTTAAAACACGATGGAGTTAGTATAAAATAGCGTTGACATAACAAAAGTTGTAGTTCGTTAAAATATAAGCTTAATACCTAATTGCATTAGGAGCCAATGTTCTCATAGGCATACTCCAACATTATTGTAAGGAAAAACAATATTTCATGGAAGGAATGGGAATAAAAGAATAGTAAACATGAAATAGGAACAAAACTGAAGAACAGCTCATGTAATAACCTCAGTTAATAATGAAATAAGGCCTCAGCATATTGATATGCCGGTTCAGACTGAACCGGCCCAGCTGGCCCAAGGGCCAGTTCAGCAAGTCTATAGGTAGCGGAATCAGTCCGCCTCCCTTGGCTTGGCCCGCCCATAGGGTGGGCCCCACTTTTCCAATGGATTTGAAATTTAAAAGGAGGGGGCGGCTAGGACTTGGTAGGGAAATTAGATTAGGAAAGCTTTTGTATTAAAGAGGATGAGAGGGATTAGGAGAGATTATGTTTTGATTGATTGGAATTAGGGTTTCTTGTCGACTTGGGCTCTAGACTCTCTTATGTAGAGATTTGGGAGAGACGATCCTCCTCTCAAATTGAGAATCTCTTGTATCTTTGTTTTGTTCTTGTTTCACTTTGTTTTCTATAATTCTTCCACCACGATTTCTTTGTTTTCTCTCTGTTCTTACTGATTATTGTTAGGTTTGCTTGCGAACTCAAGTAGATCCGATAGGATTACTTGCGAACTCAAGTATTTCCTATCACATATCTCAAGAGGTAATAACACAACCAGGATGTATTTTACATTTTGTTAACCCAAGAATCTATCTATTAGTCCATGTAGTCAGTGGGTACTACCAAGAACTAGTGTACTTATGTGTTAAACTCTTGGGAACAACCTTTCTAAAAGGGCCATTTTATAATTTAGTCCCAAATTCCCACTTTTCAGGAAAGCTGCAGAACTAATTGATAGGATGAGTAGCAATCCCATGTTAAAATGCCGTTTAAACTAAATGGTACTAAGTTATAAGAGAACACATTTACTTTGTTCTGTTAATTCAGGTGGAGGGAAACACACGACTCTCAATAGTCATGAGACCAATTCTAAGACGTCATAAGACCAATTATAAGACAAAATGTCCCTACTAATTCTTCCCATGCTATGCCTCTCTTGTTTCCTCCCTTCGTCCTTACTCTACCCTTCAACAATTGGATGTTTATCCTACAGCACCAAAACTCTCACACACCACCAGAATTTCCCTCCTGTTGTCAGTGGAATGGCACTAGCAAACACTTACTAATAAAAATAAACAGGAAGCTTACAATTGTGAAGAGGTCATGAAACAGCACTTTTGGAAACTAGGAGCAGCTTTCATGAAGGAATGCAACTTGCCACCAGCATGAGATTGCAGCTAAATAAACAACCTTGTCGCCACAGAAGGATAATGAAGATGACCTGAAAGGAACTGAGCCCTTATAGAGCCAGCCGTCAAGAAAGGCAAATGGGCATTCCAATAATCTTAATTTGTGAATAGGGTGTAATCAAGCCACACATAAACAAACGAAGCTTTGTTTGAGATTGGTTTGTTAATTGTTTTTACTGCTCGTGCTTTGTTTGTTATCATTAATGTTTGACATTTCTCTGTTTGTGTTCAACTTGTTATTGTTTGGATTGTTTGCAAACATAAATTACTAAAAAAAGCAAATTAATAAAAAGAGTGATTCTTATTACTTCGAATAAAAAAAAGGATAAGAAAGAAATAATCTCGAGACCTCAATATACAAGGGCAATACTTCTTTAATACTAAAATCCAAATATTGGATCCAGTGGCGGATGCACAGTGGGGGCACTGGGGACATGGGCCCCCAATGGTCAAATAATTTTTTTTTTAATTTTTTTGGCTACTTTTTTATACATAATGCTAAATTAAAAACTTAATAGCCGCCGAAGCAGAAAATTTTTGCCATTCGACGTTATTGTGCCTACGCACTCAGCTCCGATCAAGTTTTCGCAGAGTTCTTTCATCCATAACAGCAATAGTGAGTTGTTTACTCTTTTTCCTCTCTCTCTCTCTCTCTCTCCCCCGTAACTGTTTATGGCTTTATGCAAATTATGTTAAATTTTTTTTTCTCACTTTCGGTATGCGTAAAAGATCTCTTATAGCTACAATCACATTTTATAGAAAAAGCCAAAAATATTGTTAAATAATAATTTTTGCTCTTTCTCTAGGAATTAATTTCTTTGATAGAAGAAATTATTTTTTTATTTTTTTGCTCTCTCTCTAGCCAAAAATATGTGTAAAAATATCTCTCTAGGTTTTTCTTTGACATAAAAACTCTCTTTAATGTTAAAAAATAATTAAAAATTAATTTTTAATTTTTTTTATCATTCTCCAATGAGTGTATTATATTTATATAATCTCTAATCTCTTTGACATAAATTTTAGAGAAGATGGTTTAATAAATTAAAAGCCTTTTTTTTTTGTTTAATAAATTAAAAGCTTGCTTTGATATTATCAATTGGTATAACAACAGTCGAACGAGTATTCTCCAAGTTATGAAAATTGTGAAGAATCATTTGTGTAATTGAATGACTCTTGGATGAATGATTGTTTAATTACTTATATTAAAAAAATATATTATTAATAATATTGACAATGAAGTGATTGTACAACGATTTTAAAGTATGAAGACTCGAAGAGAAAAACTGTAGGTGTAATGCAGAGAAAATATGATGTGATTTTGATTGTAAGTTTTTTTATTATATAATTTATCTTTTTATATAACACTTATAATAAAAAAAAATTAAAATCGCCAATGTCAGTCCTAAACTAAGATAAAAATGTTGAAGTTTTTTTTAGTATTGATAATTTGTGCCCCCAAATAAAAAAATTCCTGGCTCCGCCCCTGATTGGATCTCCTTAAAAGAATTTGCTGATATGATTTTGCAATCAATGGCCAGGAATGTATTTAGCTAGCCTAGTTGATGTTTCATGAAGGACGGAGATCAACCTAGGGAGCTTGTAGGAGAGATTTGTGATAGCGGTCAAGGTGACTTGCAATATTCACAGACAGATATCTCAACTAGCCCAAGCATCCATGGTCAACTTCAACAAAATTTGGAACAAATTCAGGGGTTATTTGATATGTAGTATTATGGGTAAAAAGTAAAGGATTTCAGGATTTCTTTTTTATATTTAGTGCAATGAAAAATTGGTGTGGGATTTTACTGTAATTAGTACACCAATATCTCAATTTTAGCTGAAAAAAGAACAAGACCAATTTGAGTAAAGTTTATTTTCCTTTGCATCTTTCCCTTCGACAAACTTCATACACGACTCAAAAACCCACACTCATCACCACCTACTTCCTCGAACGTGATCTATCACGAACATTTTCTTTGAACAAGATCTCTTGTCGAAGCTATGTCATCTACCCGCACTACTAAGACCTACCCACACCCCACCTACTCTCATAGCAATCTCATGCATGCCTTCTAGTACTTAATGGTAATCAAATTTCATAAATCGATGACCATTATATTCTTTTCATAAATGAATGATGAAAATAATGTGCATCATATTTGAATCATGATAATCAACTCGTTGCATGATAATGACTACACACAAATAATAACTTCGAAATCTCACCAATTTGATAAATCTGATTCTAACCTACAAATATCCAATTTTTTAAACGACCTTCTTGTTTTGCAACACTATTAAGATCCCATCAATCCTAAAAATACCCCACCATTGGCTGACCTAAAGAAACTAATTAAATAGTTCACATTTGTAAAACATTTTGAAATGCTTCAATATGCATATTTTTTTAGCCTAAAATTTCCTTGTCTCTTATCAGCCTTCTTATTACAATTAACTGTACAATTGTAAATATCTTATTGAATTATTCTAGATGATTGAGAGTTTTATTATAATTTCCAATTAGCTGTACAACCCACATTCAAGAGAAAACTTAGAGAGGCGCCCTTGCCAAAAACAAGGGCTGTGTTCTCCTTGCCCAGTATAGGAAAGAAAAAATTTGTACCAGACTTCTTTGTCAGCAACATGCAAAGAGCAACCTAGCCAAACTCTTGAGAGAAGCTTAGGAAGTAAATTATTGATGTGATTTGGGCCGAATAGCTATAAATCCCATTGTGCATTATATTTCTTTAACCTGCCTTGCTTTATTTTTTGCACATTTTAGTTTTATCTATCATTGAAATTGAAATCATATGTTGCCCAAATCACTTGATTACACTCATATACTTAAGCAAATTGTGCCATACTTTTCAAATAGGCCTATAAGGGTGTCAATAAATGATCCAACCCAACAACCCAATCTAGACCAACAACACCTTAGTATACTAAAACAAGTGACAAGAAAAAAAGAAAAGAGAGTGACTGCAGGAATAACCAACATCACCTTAGTCTACTAAAACAATTTGTTTTAACTACAAAATTTCAGTTTAAATGTAATTGGCACACATCATACATCTGAGCAAATAATGTTACTTAGGTAATGTAGCTTACCAAAAGACGCACAAGAATGGCTAAGACCATGCACTAGCTCTAGCAAAAACATTATGGCTTCTGCATAGGCAATTCGTTGAGGGAGGAATTTCGTTCCTTGTCAGCTTAATTTGGCAAAGAAAGCTCAAAATATCTTTTAGGTTTAACTCATTCATCCCCATGATTTTGGTATTGAAAATGATAACTAGAGAGTATAATCCTTCCATTCTGAGTATTTCCGCTACAACATCCCTTTTCCGCTTCACCTAGGCAACAAAAAATGTTGCTCTTGCATATTTTCTTTGCGATTTACAGTTACAAGCAAAGGGTTTTTAAGCGGATCATAAATACAACCCTCAACACAAGTTTGATCTTTCATTTAGCTATCTCCCCCAGCCCTGCTAATAGCAATGTCAATAGCTACACGCCGTTCTCTAATCCTGTCAAACAACGCCACTTCTTCAATATTCAAGGCTCGTAGCCTTAGTAAATCTTACTTCTCGTAGAAATGAAAATAAATCTCAAACCAAAAATGACAAGATTGACATTCACCCTATCAGATCGGAACAAGTCAACCCCAACTAATACAAGACTAGACTATCTGTCAGCTAACAAAAGTCGCTGCATCGCATGATCCTCCACACCAAACTCGTACGAAAGCAGTTAGGAAACAAGCAACCAACCCCGTCACCAGAGTCCAAATACCATTCATCAAATCGGATTACTCATTATCCGATCACTTCAAACAGAAAAAAAATATCACAAAAAACCTAAAAGCTAACTTAGAGAGACTAGTATATCAATACGTATACTGCACGCATCAAAAAAACAGAATGATATCGCTATTGATGCAGATCTACAAAATAGATTGATAAGAATCGTATTGATGTCGATAGGGAGAGACAGAGGGAACGATAGAGAAGCGCACCATCCATCTCCACAATCGGACTTGTAACCTTAATCTTCTCGATCGCCATATCTTCCACGAAACAGATCAGCCGCAGGCGAATGAGGAAAACAGCGGCAGGAAAACGGGAATGGAAAGAGAGGGAGAGAAGACAACACGGCGTGATGGCTGTTTAAATAATGTCCCATGTAGCGACGGAGTGCTGGGAAACCGAACTAGATCCATTTTTTGTATCCGTTCGTGTAGCTGTCTATGTAGCAAGCTGACCATTCGCCAGGTGGCTTGTGGGGCCATTATGGGCCCCTGCTCCGGTTGCACCGGCCAGGCGCTAACTGGTGAAGAAGAAAACAGCTTCGTGGACAGGCTTCTCCACGTGGCTGATGAACCCCATGAATCTATCCGTCCGTAATGCTTTCAACGGTGGTCATTCGTCAGCCCCATAGAATCTGCCAACAGGGTTTGAAGATCCGGTGGCCCGCATAATAGGCCACAGGGAAGGCCACAATTTGGAAAAGAAAACGAAGATAGGTAAACCTAACACAAGAAAAGGGCAAGAAGAGTGGGAGTTGGAGAGCAATTATTTTTTATAGAGCACATTTTGGTTGGTTGGTGTTCTCATAATTAGAAGAAATTATTTTATGCAGAGTCTGAATATAAGGTTGTGTTCAGATTATGAGTATATACATTATACATATTCTGTGTATTTATATTTTGTACACTGTGTATACTAATTTATTCGGACGTAACTCTATGTCTAGACTCCGCTCAAAATAATTTCTTCACAATTAGGTCATATACTTGCATTGTAATTAAAATTACTAAAAGAAAAAATAGATGTAGAAACCCTAACACATAACTACAAAATGATTTAGGCTTCATTTGGGATAGCTTTTTTTTTATATTATGAATCTATTTTTAGTACAAAAATCTCTTGAAAGCAGAAAAAAAATAACGATTTAAAGCTGTCCCAATCGAAGCCTTAAGAGGATGAAAGTCCTTCATAAAAAAAGTTATATGACTATTTGTTGTACTCTAAAAATTTACGGTGATAAAGAAAATTATGTATTAGCTCAAATATATACACATAACTACAAAATGATTTAGGCTTCGTTTGGGATAGCTTCTTTATTATTTTATAAAGCTATTTTTAGTACAAAAATCTCTTGAAAGTAAGAAAAACATAGCGATCTAAAGTTATCCCAAACGAAGCCTTAAGAGGGTGAAAGTCCTTCATAAAAAAAGTTATATGACTATTTGTTGTACTCTAAAAATTTACGGTGATAAAGAAAATTATGTATTAGCTCAAATATATCCCATACATATAATTATAGAGGGGTATGAAAATTTCTCATCCTACTTGAAGGGCAAGTGACTAACATGAGGCATCAAAGGGCAAGTGACTAACATTCAGTTATATGCAATATCAGTTAATAGTATATACCAAGTGATGGTTGACATTTGGAGAGTTTGAGAATAACCGGCTAATGGTTTTAAAAGCAAATGGAGCTTCAAAACTATCTAAAATAGAATATTTAAAGTTCTAAGTATGAAAGTTATACCTGTTAGCTTCAAAATTCTCTTACCCTCTCCCTTCTTTTCTTGGGCTATCATGAAAGCTTGGTCAATATTTTATAGCTAAGGGTGTCAAAATCTAGTTCCGGGTCAGGTTCAGGTCAAACTTGAAACTGATCCGTCATTATTTGACACGACTCGAACCTGAATCATTTTTGCGAACGGGTCATAAAATTCAAATTGGGCCCGACTAGTCCAATTTTCAGGCTGACCGGAGATGACACGAATGGGTTATGACTGAAGAAACGCACGAATGGGAGGAAGGCGACTCGTCTAGTGACTCTCATCGAAGTCGCAAGATTAGACAAGAAGGAACGTCATCATGTCGTTAAAGTAGGAGAAGCGGAGAATGTCGTCGGTGGGATGTCATATCGACATGTAGGGTTATTGGCTAGCGGCCTAAAGTTTAGCTTAGGAAGGAATGTCATCGGTGGGATGTTGGGGCCGCGGGATGGCGGGAAAGGCGGATGACGAGTCCTTCGGGCTAGGTTGACTATCGAGTCGCGAGTGTTGGCCTTCCTTTTACCCAAATCCTCAGGTCAAAGGGGTTGACTTGGTCAAATTGACCAAGCCATGCCCCAAAATCACCTCCCTTGAGTTCAGTGGGTCAAGCTAGGTCTACTGAGCCCAGACCCAGGCCTTAGGTCAACCTGGTAGACCAAGTCAACCTAGGTTGACCCATTGAACTCTAATGGGTCTAAATTAATTTCAAATCAAATTCAAACCCCTCCTTGGCTCAATCCACTCGTCCCTTGGGTCAAATTGACTGGGTTGACCAAGTCAAGCTTTGAATTGGTCAACCCAAGTCTTCATGGGTCAAATTAAACCTAATTAATGCATTTAAAAGCCCTCTTAATGCCTTGAGATTCAAACCACAGCTAATTATCCTAATTGAATTTAGATTCAATTCTAGCCGTCCATGATAGGTCTAGGGGTTTAAAAAGGAGAAATTAAGGTTGATTTGGCATCTTTTGGCATAAGCTCTCTCTCTAAGCTCTCCAAAGCCGCAAGACTTCAAGTGAGAGTTTTCCTCATCCCACCACCTTTTCCAAACTAGATCCACCGGCCAACCTCGTTGGTGGCGAGATTTCTGGCGAACCGAGCGCCATGCTCTTCCTAGGCGATTTCCCATCGATTCAATGCGTTCCAAACTGTGATTTTAATAGGAGGAGATATGTGGACAATCTACAAGCTCAGAGCATTCAAAAATCCCCCAATATCCCAAGGTATAATCCTTAAAAAACCCATATATTAGGTCAAATACTTAGATTTAATTAGTGTTACGAAGAGCGGCTTTTAAGCCAAATGAATACTCCCCCACGATTTCTGTTCATGTGTAGATCATAGGTTTAAATTTTGTGAGGTTTTGTTGATCCAATCGAGAGAAAAATCCACAAAACCCATTCTAGGGTTCAGTATCCGCAAGTCATATGTGTGCAAGATCTGGGCCGTTGATCTCTGATCAACGGCGTGGATCTCGCCGCTTCGCGATTCCTTTCGATTGTGCAATTTGATCCACAAATAGTTCCTTTATATGGCGAGATCAGAGCCGTTGGTTTTAAACTACGGATGATCGGATGGCTGTAGGCCGCATCCGATGTGGTTAAAGACCGCATCACTGAACCCCGTGCCGCCACAATCATTGGTAATGATTGCCCGCATTTTTGTCCGCCAGCCGGATGTCGTCACGTCACCCAAGCCGTCGCCGCCACCAATCGCAGTTTTTTTATTTTATTAGTTTTAA